ACAGCGGAGAAGACAATTTATCCTGCCTACCAACAAAAGCAACCGCATTTCAAATAATCGAAAAAGCTATTTTGTCGAGCAACACAAAATACTTATTATGTTGTTTGATAGCAAATGACGTGCTTTGATGTGCAGCATTGTGTGGAGTGTTTACTGGCAGACAATAATACTTTAACCTGCTTTACAACGAGTTGAATAGAAAGAACAGAAAGACTACTACAAACATGCCTCAGGGAAACAAAGAGGTGCCAGCTAATTGAACGTTGCCAATATAAGGTTCCCTTTGTTACGAATAATGTTCGGCCCGTTTGAGAGACAACTGCACAAAGGTTCTGATAAATGGCACAAAAAAAAAGCTACCTGAAATTGTTATTGCGTATTTGCTAATGAACTGGCAAAAATACTTCGAAGAAGTGTAAAAAATTCCGGCCAGCGTGATTTTTCAAGCTTTGCCACTTACGAAGTGTCGACAATTGGCAACGACTCCAAATAAAAATTTTCCTATAAAACAAAATGCAATTCGAATTATGCTTTTTAAAGCCGGTATCTTTCAAATTGACAAGAAGTTTCCGCGAAGAAGTAATTTTGATTCTGCCCAACAATCCAAGGACGGAAACATGAAAGAGACCAAAATTTTGCAAAAAGCTTTTAAGACATTAACGATTCACCCAAGGTAAAAAGCCATCACAGTAAGTTACATCTGTATTTGTTCACGTTTGCACAAGATCTCTACTTAAGTGCTTTTAAAGTGAGGCATTTCTGAAGTGGCAGAGAGATAACAAAAATAGATTACATAAAAACCTCGAGTGAAAGTAATTACAAACAACCATTTTTTTTTTAAGAAAAAAAATTGAAAACATTAAAAAAAAAATTTCGATCACTTTTGTAAAACTTTGAAAATTTTCAAAAACAGCTAAAAAGAGGAAATTTTTCAAACAAAAAACTGACAACCAAAGCATGCATTTCACGATATTGCATTGTTTCCACAAGATTTCTCATTTCACAATCTTCTTAATGGAACCCACAACATACCACGCAATTGACATGCACATAAAATCAATTTTGTGCATTGTAAAATATCGGGTTGTTCTTTAAGCCACTGAGGCAAAACCAACCATCATAAAATCTAAAATGAATCTTCGGTTTCAATATCTTCATAACTTTGAAAATCGGAGCCGAGGTTGTTTGGGTCAAAAACCTCTCGAAAGCCCACTACAACACTTAGAGCAGGCGACCTCAATAACCCAATGTCATTAAGATAAACTGTCCAGAGTATAATGTTACGACTCTACAATGGATTATATCAGTCATTCTTCAAAAAATCGCCACTAATTTCTGATAAATCAAGCATTGAACATAACATTGAAAAGAGGAATTTCAGTTTACGTATTGCATAATAAAAATTTCAATCTAAGTTCTTTTTCTCTTTTTCCTTTTTTTTATTTTTTATTTTTTAGGTACATCGCCCGAACCTTCAATCCGTGGTAATCTTTTCCATCCATGACCATTCACCTTCTGTTATCAGTATATATCATCTCGACACCGTTCTCTAGAAATTTCCATTACTGCTGACAAAGAGAACCCGTTATTTGATTCAGCAGAGATACTAGGGGAGTACTCACCATAATAGTAAAATGAAACAACAACTGGCTATCAAAACAATTTAAGAAAATGAGTCGACGAGTAGTCGAGAAAATCAACCTTCTTTGGAACATTCATATGTAGCAAAAAAAAAAAAAAAATTGGTCAAAACTGAGTTCAGAAAAATATCCGAGATTCTTCGTGCAATTTGTCATTAACAGAGATATGAAATTCCGCCGTATAAAACAATAAACAAACAAATATAGAGATGAAATATCAGTACACTTTTGTCTGTCTTTCTTCATTTACTTTTCATGATTCTGCAAATGAGCCCCTCATACTTGAAGAGGAACCATAACATTATACCCCACGGTCACGAATTTTTCACCCTTCAATTCTCAAAAGAGATTCACAAGCAATTTCTCCTTAGAGTATCCTTTGACTGTTCAGCAAACAGGCCATGAAAATACCAAAAAGAATCAGCTTAAGAGAGTTGTTTTGATTTTGCACCAAATTCCCATAACTTGTTTACAGGGAAATGTACAAAAGCCGGAGGGGAGAATTACTACTCACACCATGCGAGTTGAAAGGTTGTGATACCTCACGAAGAATAAAAATTCGTAAATGGCTAGTACCACTGATATTGATACGATCCACGTACAAAGCAACCTTCAAAAATGGTGTACTTGGTGCTATTAACAAGTTTCTATGCAAAACCGATTAAATCTTCGTAATCTAAAACATTTTTTGTATAAGTTCACCATTTCTCAGCTTTGCCACTCATAATGACAATTTTTCTTTCATTGTTTTGTATCAATACGTCTGCATGATTAGCGATACTGTGTAAACACGAAACAGCAATTTCTTTGATTTATTTAGGCTGCATTCTATTCTTAGCCACCAGTCTAGCAAATTTGACGCAAAAGACGACCACCTACAGAAAAAATTAAAAAAAGAGACAAGTTGCCGCACCAACTTCCTTCACGTCTTCTGTGAGATGTGCTGAAGGTAATTGTATTCGACACTAGGCACAGATCAGGCTATCATAAGTAACGCACATGAGCAGATGTACCTTGGGTATTTACCAAAAACATTTCATGAATTCAGTTTTAAAACAAACGAGCCCTAACCTACAAACCTTGCATGTAACTTCTTCTCTTCGCGAAAATGACACTGATAGACATCTTTAAACATTCCAAGTGCACTCTACAGGGTGAAAAATCTCAAAAATAACTCGTTTCTACTTTTACAAACACTGACGTCAACAATTTGACTTTCCAGTTGTTGCCACACCAGAGAATAAACACAGGCTGGTACTGTGCTGTTACGAAAGGCTCTGACTCATGTAAGTTTTATAAATTACTTGCCTAGTTTTGCTCTTCAGGGAGCCAAAAAAACACTTCCTAAGAAACGACTGTGAGACTACGCCTATTTTTCAAGTTCATCATCAATCTTCCAAGTCTATCAACATTCTTCATCCTTTGATGCTTTCGTGCATCTTTAGATACAATAGATGCCAGAGATTTCTAGTTGGATCCGAAGGTAATTATTTTCGCCTACAAAGCGACTCAGAGCAAAGCTTGTTAGCATGACGTGGCTAAAATCTCCCTGGCATTTGCGTCAGTTGTTGCCCTCTGTCCATCTAGGTTAAAAAATATCCTGTCTTCCCCAAGGGCGTATAGTGCAATATTAAAAACACGGCCCAAGACACAAAGGGTGTCATCAGCAGATCAAAGTAGCGAGAATAAAAGCACGGTAAAAATCCCTTAAATTGTATCTTTCGCACAGTTTGAGATCCATTAAGAAGTCAATATTAACGCGTTTAAAATCATTGCAACGTGGGTGGGAAGCGCCAATTTATGACAGCACAAAAATTTTGCGTGTGCAAAACTCCAAAGTAATTTTCAGTACGAGCAACAGAAATTGGATTGGTTGTTTTTCTTGGTTTTTTTTTCTTCTGTTAACCTAGAACAACTTAGAAAAAAGCGAAGCTAGTTAAGTGGCAAAAATTCCAGTCGATATTTATGGTGACCCGTTGTTTTTGTTACTCGCCAAACGGGCGTAAGTAAAATATTTCCTCGTCTGCTAAATGACGCAGACTAATCCACTGATGGTTTGAGAGACACACATTAGCAAAAATATCAAATTGAAGGTAGTTAATCTTCTTGCTTCCTGAATTATCACAAGAGCGGATATCCTGAAGCACGCGACTGCAATAAAGTGGGCTTAGAGTCCTTCGCCACACGTACGAGGCGGAAATTGTGTTGCTTTGTGTACGCACCCAGTCACGCAATTTTAACTCAGTCTATATCAGCCATATTTCCATTTGAATAAAGCAGCGGTTTCTGTTTACGGACATCCCCTGACGAGAGTATTCAAAGGAACGCCTCGAAACCTTTTAAGGTCCCAAAGAAAAACGGGTATTGTCTGAACCACACAATGGGACTGACCTCTTGGTGTCTGGGTTTATTTACAAGCGGCTTCAAAAAGACTTTGAAACACTCTTTTGTGTGGCTTCTATTCTTTCACGTAACCATCTATTAATAAACAATGCACAACGACGGACAGCTTGCAAACGGAAGCAACTCCGAAAAAATCAAACGAAAATAAAACAAGGAAATACAGTGAAAGTACATAAATTTTGACGCCTGAGCTTTGCAAAAATAATTTATAGCTGGCTGGTCGCATTTTCCTTAATACAATTTTAGATTTACGCATTTCTCCAAGTGACTATAAACTTGTTAAAGGAGAATTCAGAAGCGTATTATGTCCTCAAACCTGGTTAGATAAGGACGCCATTACGAATTCACATGATGGCGAATTTCTTGACTATCATTTGGCTGATTGTGATAGTAAAACGGTGAAGAGGCATTTTAAAGTGGAGCCATTCATTACTAGAGGTACTTGTAGCCCAAACGATTGAAAAATCCGGCAAACACCCGCAAGAGACCCGAAATTACCGTCACTTTCTCTTCAAAAGAAGAGGAAGCCTGTATGACTTTTCAGTCATCTTGCTGAAACTGTTTACCTAACGCATTATATCACTAGAAAGGTTTTATTTTCCTTTCTTTTAATCGGATTTTCTTGATCAGCAAATTAGTGTGAATATTCCTATTTAACAGAGATCAAAACATTCCTCCTCTGAAGCTAATTGTCATATTTCAGTAAGCCGAACGGAAAATGTCACCCGGCAGATGGAAGCGGAAAAAAGAGCGGGAAAAAGAACGCAAAGCGCGGGAAAAAGAACGCAAAGCGTGGGAAACCGACCGTCATGCAAGCGTGGGATGTTGAAGGACGTTAAAAAGGAGTGGAAAATCCTTGAAAAGGAGCGGAGACTAGAAGGGCTGATACTGCTGATGTAGCCGAGGAGTTTCAATCGTCTTAAGATTTTAATGTTAAGCTACTTATAAAGGACCTACCTGTTCGCGTCGGTGTTGTAGTTCTAACAACTCTTCTAAATTTAAGTGAACCTCGCAACTCGCACTCGAGTCACCTACAAAAAGAAAACAAAACAGTCAAAAATGACGTGAAATACTACAGTCAAAGTACAACTGACTGGTACAGGTAAAGTGCTATTCAAATCACTGAGTACCGTAAGAAGATCCGGTATTCAATTAGTTTTGGTTTACTTCACTCTTTGATTGGTTAAAAAAAACTCGCGCCATGTCAACTTCTCGACCAATCAGATACAGAACTAAGACCAATCGCAACTTGGTCATTCACCCGCGTTTTCCCGCGCTTTAGCCAGTTAGTTGGATTACTTAGAGTTCTCACTGACTCTCTGTGACATTGTCCGTGACTTCGACAGGCCATCGTGACAACTTTGAAATACGAAATACGCTATGGAGAGGCCTAGAAAAAGAGCAATCACTAGAGTGATATTTTGCATCACCTGTATTGTGAAGGCACACTTGGTAAACACCAGGCTGCGACGAAGTGATACGAACTACTAATTCCGATTTTCTGTTCAAAGGAAAAGAATTTGTAATGATTATTAAATCAATAAATAGAGGCAAAAAGCAAACAAGATAATGAATACATAAATAATACCCATTCGATGATTACACCCTTTCACTCCCAGGATCGGGAAGGTACATGTACTTCTCGTGAATAAATGCAATTCTGCGTTGGCTTAGCCTAAACATTTAGTGTCCTATCACGACAAACACCCAATTTAAAATTTTCAAAACTGATCTCTTAGCCACCTGCTTTACAAAACACAGCGAGTCAAACGTCGCACATGTTTTCGAATGTTTACGAAGCCTGACTTTGTCAGCTTTCAGCCAAATTGTTGCACAGGACTTTAAGTCAACACAAAGCTAGAAGATCACCGTTTATTAAAATCGTGTAGTTTTCTTTTAGCAGAGCTAAAATAAGAACTTATTTGATAGTAGGTATTCTGTTTATCTGAGATATAAAGAATACCTACAATCCAATTAGTTAGGTGCTCAAAAAGTCTACTATTTCTTTCCCTTTCACAGATTTCCGGGAAGGTTTCATTTTAGCAAGAATCTTGCGCGATACCGGTTGTTCCTTTGTATTTCTTGTCATACCTTCCGCGAGAAATTGGTGCGCAGCCGGCCAAAATTGATCCATTTGCGCATGCCTAACGTATGACGGCCGTGCATCATTAAATTATATCAACGTCAATGAACCGTACCTCTTATCGGGAAATTTTTGACCTTCTACAGCCACTCCTTCCTTTTCTAGCTGACTGTAACTGAAGCTAACAGGAGCGTTACCACTTTCCGAGGCATACCCATAATTCACCTCTCTCTAGAATACATAAGACACACAGCAAAAATGCAGCTTCAATTTATCTACCAAGATGTCGTCGTCTTCTTGCTAAAACCATTGCAGGACAAAGAAGTTATGCCTATCGTACTAAGCTCGCAAAATAACTTAACTATCTACTGTCAGAGTAACTCCACAGTAGCATTTCTATGAGAGCCGCAATGGTGCGCGACTTGCAATAACAGTCCATAAGTGCTTTCACATGCTACTGGTTTATGATGCCGCGCCACGTGGCTAAAAATTTGGATCAATGTCAGCAGCTAAGCAACAGCGCACTTGCCCTTCCCTTACCCAACAACAGTCGACTGATAACAAGGTAGGGTTAATGTTGGTTTTGAGGAGGGGTATTATAAACAAACTTTGCTGAGGAAGTCATAACAAGTGACCGTACGATGCGCTTGGAAGCAATACAATAGATTTTTGTCGTTTTTCGAGCTACAAGTTTCTAACAATTTATGAAACTTTGATTTGTTTACGAAGGAGAGACGGAGGATATAAAATGACCGCAGTTACCTTTGATGAACCCGTGACCGCCTTGGCTCTTACTGCAGCCAAATATTCTACAACCCAAAAACAAAAAGAGAAAGAGAGAGAGACGTGCCTTTAATTTTAAACAGAAAATTTCAGATTTCATATTTGAAAGAAAACAAACCTTTGTAAACACTCAATTGATCCTTCAGATAAGACTCTTGCTGGAGGAGAGTCTGAAAAGTGAATCATTTTGGTGAAGTTAGTGTCGCCTTTTTTTCAAAAAGGGTTGAGCAATTAAAACTAAAAAAAAATTCCACACCCAAACAGAAATAACCCAGCAAAGGTTACACGATCACGGTTTTGCGGCTCGCGGAAGACATGCTACTTAATATTGTAGAGCAAATGCAAGAGCATCTTTCTTATACGTTCTCCTGCTTTTACGTGTCTTGTGACTTTATCCTTTTCACTTCCAAGACCTCAATAATAACTCTCCCTATATTCTTCCATACAATTCTCAAGATGTAAGCTCGGAGAATTTGGTATTGGATCAATTAATAATCCTGTTATTAATAATTTTTATTCGTTCTCCTCACTTGCCTAGTTGATTATGTATTGATATTGTAAGGAGAAATGTCTTGGTCACAGTTATGTGAGTTAAAGGGTTAATCACACCACGTAAGAAAACTTACCCCGTAAACTTCTCTTAGACTGTTGACTTTGGGCTTCAGTCTAAAATACCTCAACACCTTGTGCTGGACCTCCTGCAACAGAAAAAGAATTCGAGTTGACCATTCGTTTAGCACACTGCAGTTTTTTCGTCTACTTGGAATCGCTTTTAATAGGTAACTGTAACAAGTCACTTGTTCCGCAAAAACACTTGAGCCTAATGGAGCAGTGTTAATCGAGTTTCAAAAAACCAAAACTAAAGAAATCTCAGTGACCAATCAGAACACAGATTCACATTATCATTTGCCAATGAGAACTCAAAGTGCAAGCACGCAAAACACCACCGTTTTTATTTTTGCATCTGATTGGTTTAAACGATGGCGAAAAATATCTGGACCAAACAGAGCAAAGGTTTTCATTATCATTGGCCAATGAGAACTCAAAGTGCTAGCAAGCAAAACGCCACAGTTTTTATTTTTGCATCTTAGTGGTTAAAAAGATGGCGCGAAATATCTGAACCAATCAGAACAAAGCTTTTCATTATCATTAGCCACTGAGAACGCAAAGTGCAAGCAAGCAAACTGCTTGAAGCACGAGAAAACACCACAGTTTTTATTATTGCATCTGATAGGTTAAAACGATGGCGCGAAATATCTGGACCAATCAGAACAAATGTTTTCACTATGATTAGCCAACGAGAACGCAAAGTGCAAGCAAGTAAACTACTTGAAGCAGGAGAAAACGCCACAGATCTGATTGGTTAAACGATGGCGCGAATATCTGGACCAGTCACAGAGAATAGCTTAATAAAGCCTACGCCATCCAGGATTACTTTGGACACTCCATTGAAAATTGTTCTAAAGCGTTACTTATCCATTGTAGCTCTTCTGGCTCATCTCTTTCGTGGATTAAAATCCTCCAAGTCATTTCCCATTGCTTCATATTATAATAACCAATTGGAGACTTAGGAAACTAAAAATCTCAAACTGGTTCAGTTTGATATGTTTTAAACCAAGCACACAATTTAAACGAGACCTGGCTACTCAAGCCATCACCTTTAATTATTGCTACTCGCCCAGTCCTATATCCAACAAACAATCCATCTAATAATTTGAAACAAACCTGCTTCACTTCCTGTAGGAAATCTGGATCTTTAATGAGCTTGTCGCGTTGAAGAAAGAAAAAAAAAAAAAAGATTTTGTTTGTCTTTGAAAATGGCGACCAACTTTTTTTGAATTGGCTACCACTTTGAAGAATTTTTCTTCGCGATGACTGCTTTTTGTATGTTTGTATGTCTGCAATATGCAATCAGCGAGTTTGGCTGCCTGTTCTCTCCTGAATCGCGATTCACTGGTTTCTCCTTCAGAGGGAGCAACACTAGACTTAGCTAGCTTGAGGGCACTGACCAGGGATCTTTCTTCCATAAATTTCACATCCTGCAACAGTGAAAATGAAAGATTAGATCCGGCCTAAATAGCAAGCCCACCACAAACGGAACAAAAGTGGGATGCCTGTGGAAAGCTGGCATTTTTTAAAAACTGAAGCCCACTTACCAGAGAAAAAAGTTTCACACTGAGTGTTTTTAACTCTTCTTTCGTGGATCTCTCTTCGATTGGAGGTTTAATTGGAACCAACATTTCGAAAGATTCACTTCTAAGAACTGAAAAAAAAAGGAAAAAACCAAAAAAACCAAAAAAAATAAACAACCGAACAAAATTGTTGAATTAACATGTTCAACTATTATCTTAAGCGAAGGACAGCAAAAACAAGAGAGCGCAAAAAAAGAAAGATAAAAACTTAAGGAAATAAGATCAAGGCCCACAACGTTCAAAAAGCTGAGTTTTTTTCATCAAAATTGCAGTTGGGATAACATTAAAGGCATCTAAATGTTATCACCACCTGCCATATCTCTGGTTAGCAAAAGTAAAGACGTAAAGTTTGTACCAGAGCCAAATGGCCTGCCCACCCAGCCGGAGCTTATCCCAGATTCCTAGCACGAAGCAATGAGGAGTATCAATACTCCCCCCTGGACGGAATGCTGGATGCTAGTCCACGGCAACGTTACCGGCCAACATTTCATCAGGGCTCCCCAACAATTCGCCGGTGCCCATTGATACTCGTGGGTGGGAAGAGCCACTTTAGGAAGCAAAATGTTTTTGACCACGGAAATATCTCCGACAATAAGTCAATAAACTTAAACAAACTGGGTATTCAATGGGTCAATTTGACAATAAATGATATTTTGGTAACGAAAAAATTACTTAAGCGCGAACTGCTGCAATACGTGGAAATAAGCCCCCGACCCACCCAACCCACAGTGCAACATACCTTTGCTGTGATCCCACCTGTTAGTGAGAGTCAAGCAAATTGTAGCATTCATACTGTAACTCAACTGTTTTCCAGGGGGTCCTAACTCATCTAAAATTATGTGCAGTGGATCATCTTCAGTTAGGGCCTGGACAGAGAAAAAATTGTCTGTTAGGGGTCTGTGTGAGAGAATGTTAAGTGCTCCCCTACAGCTGATGAATCTTAGGCATTGGAACTAAAATTTTCCTTGTTGGTCATTTTCCCATCCGGTCAATTTTTTTCATCCTTGGCCATTCTTGTTCCTTTTTTGTTTATAATAGTTTCTTTGGTGTTTTCTATCTTACCAAACTACAGCAAAGTTTTCGATTGACTATCGAAGCTGATTCTCGACGATCCTCGATCCTTGCTTTGGTTTTGCTTTACTTCGCCCTGTGATTGGTCAGTTTGATTCATTCAACCAATCAAATGCAAAACTAAAACAATCCTAACTTGGTCACTAGCGTTTTCCCGCGCTTCAAGCAGGTTGCCTGTTTTCACTTTGAGTTTTTATTGGCTGATGGTGATGTTCATCTTCGCTCTGATTTGTAGTTGCGATTAATCTGGTTTTGTTTTTTGACACTTAATTGAAAATTGTCTTTCTTTTTTGGAAGTCATTTACAATCTTAAGCCATCCTTACCAAACTTTAACTTTTTCCCGTCTCTCTACAGATTTTCAACTTTGGCCGAGTACTAATTACGAATTGTTTCAGTAATAATTATAATGCATCTAATAAAGGAGAAAGGACTATCAGTCGTCTGTTCGTTCTTATCTATTTATCTATGTAGTTACAGTTTTCTTGTTTGAAATTTTATGAAAGTTTAAAGAAAACGTTTGTCCTTGAATTTTTCACGATGCTAAATGTCAAAATGACACGAGGGGGAGATAGAAAAAATAACAACAACTCCATGCTTACCACTGTCATGAAGTATCACGTAATGATAAAGCAAACTCACCAGCTCCTCTTTATGCTTGAGAATTAGTTCATGAATTCTATACATTTCGTTTGGGGTGATTCTAATTTTAATGTCCTTTGACAGCGATAAATATTGTTCAATCTGAAAAAGGAGAAAAAAAGACTGAAATCAAATTCAGATGTGACAATTGAATTTTGCATGATATTCGGTTTTAATAACTGATAACTATAGTGCAAAGTATACATAGCCGGCTGTTTGGTATCATCAACTGAGTTTATAACGTAAATTGGCCACCGTAAGGAGTTTCAATGCTGACGTTTCTGCTCCGTGAGCTATGGAGTGCATAGTTGGTCGTTTTTTACATTATGTGTTTGTGATAATCCAAGGTTGTTAGTATGTTGGACAAAATAATGAAAGTTTGTAGTACGACATAACGCCAAGAGTGCCACATTAGGTGGATGCAAGTTTTAACCGTTCTTGTCATTTCATAACGTAGGAGGATACAATAAATGTATTATGCAATACAAATATGCAGTCCTTACCTCTAAGGTTTCATAGAAATCTGTTATCTCATTGAATTTAAATAATTTCATCAAAAAATCCTGAAATTAAAATGACAGTTTTCATTGTCATTTCATATACAGCAGTTTTAAAATACCTTCACAGAACTGAGAGTAACAATTATAATTAACTGACTAACATAATTAAGTTATAACTAACTGTTTCAGAAACAAGGGAGGAAAAAACAAACTAATAGACAAATAAATGAAAGACGAAGAAAAAAACCACGAATAAATAATAATAATAATAATAATAATAATAATAATAATAATAATAAATCAGTCTGCTTTGACTCGTTCCAAAAAGCACTTTGACTAGATACATCAAAGGGCAAATTCTTGCCTTCCTTTCCTTAACAAACTTCCGTGTTTTCAAAACTCATTTATTAAAGATAGGAAAATGTGTCCAAAAAGAGAAGACGATATGTTTTTAATTGAGATAAAAAAAACAAACAAACAATCTTAATCTCCCAAATGCTAAAGAATTTAGAGACATTAAGCGCAGTAATGTTTCTTTCTAACTGCAAGCAAGGGGACCATACCTGTACATCGTCAACATGTTCTGTAGCAAATGACTGTAAAGGTTGCATATATTCCTCTTTGAAATGATTCTTCACGGCATGAGGGTTAGCCATGCTTTGTAATAGTTTTGCAATCTGCAGACCAATGTAGAAAGTCAGCTTTGGTCAATTTTGGCTTGATTGCTGGGAAACCAAGCAATAACAGTAACAGTTTCTAATGCTGATGTTTCAGGCGTTAGCTCTGCGTCAGACCAAATAGAGGAATTCTGGGTGGTGTGTGGTTTAAATACAGAAAGATGGAGCCTGGAAATTGGTGGGAATATAGTGAAAAGCGTTCGTTGGTACCGTAGGAATTAAGAGATACACTTTTGTTCTAGAGTTTTGCGGGTTTCCTAACTGCCTAGACGTAGTAACTCTGACAAGTAAATCTTTTATCATGTTTTATAACACTGCTGTTAATTAAGATTCATCCCTTAGAGATGATAAAGACTCTAAGATTACGTACCAAGGTTAGATTTCTTCGTGCACACTGACTTGCAGGTTTATTGACAAGCATGTAAGCTGAAAACACACATTATAAATATGTCAGGAGATACATGATCATCAGACAATGAAAATATGTAAGAAAGAAGCAAGATTGAAGAAAAGGTTAGTTAACAAGTAATGTTGGAAGACATTGAGTAAAATGAATTTATTTCCGTAACAACTTTTTAAAAAGTCCTTCCAATCAATCTCATTATTGCTAGCCTACACAACAGACGCATTTTTTTGGCGTTTTCCAATCGAACGGAAGCAAGCTAGCGCGAAGTGCGAGTCACGCGCGTAAGGAGTAACGCAAAAAAGTACGAGTTGTGTTGTGTATATGCTGCTGTTGTTTTTATCCTCTAAAGTTTCGTTTTCATTTCCACTGTGCTCGAGAAATACATGCAGAGTAAATCAGGATTTCTTATACAAATACCATTTGGTGTTACTATTGCTGGATTCAAGAACCTCAACAGGAAAAATCCGCCAATAAGAGAGGCAATATTAGTGTCTGATACATTTGGATACTTCTCCTACAAGGAAGCAAAAAGAAAAAACAAAGAAAGAAACAATAAGTGCATACATTTGACCCAAATGAAGAGCCCATTTTAGAGAAGTTATCTCTAGTACAGGATTGCTTTGGACTGGCTTTTCTCCGTCATGTAATGGGTCCAGAAAACTCGTGCCACTCTCTCAACCAATCAGATTCAAAATCAAAACCTATCGCGACTTTGTCGGTCGCGTTTTCCCGCGTTTTAGGCTGTTTCGTTTTTACTTCAAGTTCTCATTGGCTCCTGGTGATAGTTTCCTTTCTATGATTGGCTCTTTGTGAGTGCTCTGGTTTGGGTTTTACGACACGATCAAAAAGCGCTCAAAGACCAATTGAGTATTTAAAGTTATCCGATATCGGACTAGGTTTTAATTTGCCTTACTTTGCTCTGAAATTGGCCTTGGAAACTTAGGTCACCTAGGAACTATTTCCAGTTGTCGAAAGTAGTTCAAGGTTGCTTTGGTTTGGCTTTTCCAACCTGGTGCAGGAAACTTAGGAAACCTTTTCCACCCTCTCGTCCACTCACACTCCAAACTAAAAAAAGCCGCAGTTTGTTCGCTTGTGATTTCCTACACCTCCAGTAGTTTGCCTGTTTTCACTTTGCATTCTTATCGACTCCTTGTGCTATTTTCTATTGCTCTGACTGGCTGTTGTGATTACCCTGGTGTTGACCTTATCACAGGTAATCCAAAAGAAAAGCAATCTGACACGGAAATCCTTACTTACTTTAACAAGGTACACAATAGTGCTACACAGCCATCTTATTCCATAAGGAACTGTATGAAGCGATCCTGTGATGGCAGAGACAAATTGTGATGCCACTGTTTTCAGCGAACGACTGCTTGGATAACGTCAAGGAAAAGTTTCTTCTGCAAAAATGAATCATGGTGCATTTGCTTGCCTAATATTTTTTTTAAGGCCTTTCTTTTATTTGCAACAATTTCACTGGTTAATTTAACTGCAGTGAGTTTTCTCTCTTCTGCGTTTTTTTTTATTGCTCGTCTTTAAGTTACTTTTGTTGATGCCATCCAATTTTAAAGGCTTGTATAGAATATTATTAAATTTAACTGTCCAAATTTCTTCAAAAAGTTATACTCTATTACTCTTCTGAAACAATCAAAACACCACTTGTAAAACCGTTGTTTTTTATAAATCACAACGAGAAAAAGGATATGTTCTTGTATAACCTCTTGAACTCTTGGGTCATCCAAGGCCTGAAGATTTGAATACGTAAATGGGATTGAACTGAGTTGAGAATTAGCTTTGTTGCTGTTTTTGCAGCATTCTATATTATCTTGTATCATTCTATATTATCTTGTTTTTACAGAGAGGTAATAACAAAGGGACAAATATACCTCCCAGATAGTATAACAGGAAATAACAGGTTTTTTTGGGGGAATTGTTCCTCTCAGTTACCAAGTAAAAGACTGCTGCTGAATGAGACATGCTCTTCCTTCCATGGGGAGGGGAGGGGATGCAGTTATTGTCGAGAGATTTACTATGATGGGAGGGGGTAACTTTTGAGTGAAACATTTAATTCTGACTTAAAACCACTACTCTTTACACGTGTCTTCAAAATCAAGGTAAAAAAACAGCAACAAATCTGGACATGAAGCTATTTGACTAAATTGTTCAAACTAAGTAAACAAATTCAAATAAATATTTAGCATACCCGTTCCATGGTCAATTGTCCAAAAGACAAATTCACAGGAGACCCATAAATTTCAACATAAACCTGAAACAGAGGGATAGTCCTTTGAGACCTGAATTCAGTGTATCTGTTGGAAGCTACAGGCATCCAGTTTCTTGCACTACCAAGTAATACAATATGACATTACATTTTCTACCAGATAGAATGTTGGCCAACCAAAGCAATGAAAGTTTGATCATAATAATCAGAGTAAGGTTAACCTTGTCCAAGAAAAATAACTATGTGGTCCCTGCAATGTGGCAAGACACTCAATAACAGGTTGCCATTTCATAGACAAGTCCCATTTGACAGTTGGTGAAACATGGGGAGATTATTTTCAACATATTTGTTACAGAAGTGGAATTTGCTCTTAGCAACAATTACACACATTCAAATCAGTTTTATTTTCTTCCATAATTGTAGCAAAAAATTGAGAAGCACCATCTAATATTTTGGAACAGTGCAACAGAAGCTGCTTGTCATGGCAACTTCTGGCCTGGTGCACTCTGCTCTTAACACTGGGTTTAACTGTAACTGTGTAATGAGATGTCTATTGCTAATTGGTTTTTTTTTTCAGTTCAACTAAGGTCACAAGCCCAAACCTTTAGAGGATTAATTTCAAGTTGCAAATGGTCCTGATCAACAACATGTCTGACAAGAGCTCCTAGAGTTGACTTCAGATATTCCTGCCCTGGGCCTCTCCTACAAAAAGAAAAAAAACTTTCAAAAAGTATCTACACAGTATTGTGCAAGAGTAATGCAAATGAAAATTGCCAAATTTTGTTTATTGTTTTTTCAAAGTTTCATGTGGAAGTTTGTGGGAAGATTCTCACCTGCACTTAACACCATTTTGCCACAAAGAGTGATATTTCTTCAAATTTTTGGTAACAAACAAAAGTTCATCATAAAAAGCTTGGGAAAGAAAATACAATTATCCATGCCACATGCTCAATCTACCTCTCATAATGAGCATGAAACAAGAGATTACAAATGTAATCTCTTGGCATGGTTGTCATCTATGTAATGACATTTAATTCTCCTGATGATTTTGAGAAGATGAACTTGTTTAAAAGCTCAACAAAATGAATAAGAAAATGTCAATGGATATTCATAAAATACGATTAAACAATTACAATTATACTCACAATAATCATTATAAAAATTCATTTATCATCATTTGATATTCAGTTACAGTATGAATTATGTAGAGGCTATGCACCTTGTATATGTTGTCATCATTCGCGTGATAGCTGTATTAGCCCGGAGAAGGCTGTTAAATGTCTCAGATTCATTTACTTCATACTTCAGAGCAAGCTTAAAGAGAATTACAGATCATATTTTATCTCTCAGTTTGTATGTGTCTTATGATTGGTCAATTAAGCAGGCCGCATTTCATTCTGTGACCTGCTAAATTCAAAAGTTTGTTTGAAATGAAATCTTCCACTCCGTTTTAAACCCAGTTAAATAATAAATGTGTTTAACTTGGTCCTGCAAGTTACACAACCCAGCTTTTTAAATTGGAGTGAAAAAAAAATTTGATCTGTAACTTGCAGTAAAGACCTAAAACTCATTGCTTTTCTGAAGGTAAATGTTATTCAAATTGTGTTAACCCTTTGACTCCTAGGAGCAACAAGCATCTAATTTCTCTTCATAGTAACACCCCTTATTTTACACAATAAAGTCACACAATTCACCCTTTGACCCCTGAGAGTGACCAGCATCTAATTTCTCCTTACAGTATCACCCCTGAATCACACATCAGGGTCCCAAGAATAAAGGAAATGATAGCCAACCAAAGAAGCTCTTGATTTTGAACAAATTCTCTTTTTCGCTACCCTAGGAAACGTACAGAGAACAGTATGGCGAATATGTAAAAAGGAACTAAAGGAACTTTTGATTGTTAGAAAAATTCTCCTCATCAGCACTTAAGGAAATGTATAGAGAACTGTATGGAGAATATGCATCATGATGTTAGGATGTAAAAAGTTAATGAGAGGTTTGTACCTCACCATGTGCACAGCAAAGACACTTACCTGGAACATAGTAAGTAACAGATATTCCTCGCGAAGCTCATACTGATTGCCATACAGTGAGAACAAGACAGGCTGTAAAAGGTCTAAAAGAAAAAGCAATCACTAAGATAACTTAGAAATTTTGTTGGTTATACACTGGTTGCCTAATTGTCTACAAATCCATTAGGGCAGAGCTTCATGTCTCCTTGCATGAAACAACAATTTCCAGCAGTTTGATTTTCTAGTGCTTACCATCAATCTCATCAAGTGAAACAATTCTTGTAAGCTGTGCTAGATAGGAGGCTTCTGTTTGAAGGAGGAAAAACAGATTGCCATATTTCTGTGTAAAGGAAAAGAGGAAAAATACTCCTCATTAAAATATCATATTTTTTCACCATACAGTATCCCTTAAAAAGAATCAGGATAAATAATAGCAATAATTTTCTAACCAAGCTGAAAAATACAACCACTATATTGTTTCCTTGATTTTACATTGTTCGGAATGGATTGGACTAAAATGGTTTAGCCTGAGAAGAGTATTGGGAAAATTAACCCTTTAACTCCCACAATCTTATTAGTAATTCTTACTGTCTGCCATACAGTTCTTGAAATGTTAGTTTTAGAATTTGGTATTGGATCAACTTATAATCCCCTAATTCATATTTTTCTTTATTCTCATCACTTATCTGGTTGTTACTGTATTGATTTTGTAAGGAGAAATTATGTCTTGGTCGCTCATGGGAGTTTAAGGGTTAAGGTTCAAAAAGGAAATGTCAATAATGGCACAAATGAAATTTTATTAAATTAGTACTATTATCCCTAATTGTATTTAATTTAATTTCGTGCCCCAGGTATGCAGACCAAAAAAAGACTAATCAATCTACATTTAGCAAAGGATTACAATCAGCCAGTCAACTACCATTAAATTAAAGAGAAACTGTTCCATCACCCCAACTCTCAGCTTATTACTGAACACAACAACAAAATTCTTCTCTGTGGCCTAAAGTGAACTCCTCTGAATCAATCACATACCTGCTGTTGTGTTTCACTATCTATTTTTTCTGCAAGAAAAGCAAACATTAGCATAAGAGATACTATAATCTAAATAACCCCTTCAAATTGCACAAGTGATAAACATGTAACTTCTCCTTAAAATATCAATACATCATCCAGAAAACTGACCATGAGAATACACAAACTTATTGGGTAGAAGTCATCTTGATCTAAAACCAAATTCTGGTAACTGATTTACAAGGAAATGTGTAATTACAAGAGTGGAAAATTAACAATCACATCTTGGATGTTAAGGGATAATGAAAATAGCACCAGCAAAAATGAAAATCCTGTTATAAATGACAAAGTCACTATTTATAAATATCATTACATGAGGGAATGAGGAAATGAAACCTTAAATGATTGTTCCCTCAAACAGACCTTTAGAGGTTTGGTCTATCAGCACTAACAGGCAAAAGTAGGATTGTCACAACAAAATCAAAGGACAAATTTTGTCTTAAAAAATTTTAGTCTCCTCTGTTACATCTGCATTAAAAATTTCAAAGCAGTCAAATTCAGCCAGCACCTGATTTGCTCAATATATACCTGCAAAGAATTTTGGTGGTGTTGCATCTGAAGATATTTCCGCTTCAGCCAAAATTTGTCAAGTGTTGGTGACAACAGAAAATTTGTTGATTAAATGAAAAACCTTTTTTCTAGTGTGTATAGGCCCTTGGCCTTTTATTCTGAATTCTTTGACTACTTTATAACAATCTTTTCTTTGTGAAAAAGTCACGTACCTTTCTGAGAAAAGCATGAGTACTTGCTGTGAAAAAATGATCTTGTGCAAGCTTACTTTGGCAAAGTCACAAAACTCTTAAACAGCTTAATTATGGGTGTAAAAACAGCATAAGTTTCAAAGCAGGAAGTTGTAAACATGTTTCGTGCCAAAACTATCCTGCCACTGTGACCTCTGATCTCTTCCGAAACACAACTTTTCAGTTTGCTTTTTGCATCGCAAATTAACCAACTTACAAAGTATACTTACAATTATAAAATGATCTAATTATATTTTTTCCTTTCTTAAAGTTGAGACCCAGTTACCAGTCACCTTTTTTAAACAGTTGATCACAGGGAAGTTTTAGAAAAAAAAAATTATTTCTCTAAAAAACGTTAAGAACAATGATTCCTTTTGTCCGCATGTATTCTTTCATAGTCGGTTGTCAGAATCATCCAGAAACTTATTGGTTTTTGAGCATTTCTCTTTTTCCTATCACCTGTCTGCTGAATGTTTTAACGATAACGTAAGGAAAAATAACAAATCACTCACATCTGGCCATGAAAACGTTACAGAGCTTGGATAATATTAACATAACAATAAGAGAATAACGCTTTCTTTTCAAGCCTGTAGCTGTTGCATTATAAATTGTTGCATCCGGTGCCAAAACATGAACAACACAACGAAACATTCTAATCCCATGCACAAAGGAACAGCGATTCAGTATTCGAAAACCTAGAGTAGGGCTTCTCTTGCACCGTTTACCCTGCCAGACTACACACACGTCAAGCGGTGGTTTATCTGTTAGCTGTGAAAACCTCCTGTTATTAACGCAAGCACTTCGGCTGTTCCCACGTGTATCAAATGAAAAAAATTGTTATGATTCTATCGAGTCACACCTTACACTGTCGCAGTCGAGACGAAAAACGAAAACCATAAAAATGAAAACAATACAAGGCCATCTTCCAAAAAAAAAAAACAAAAAATAAAAAAAAACCTACTTAAAAATGCATGATAGCATAGAGCTGAATTAACTCTAGCTGAAAAACGCATTGTAAAATGGAGCTTAAAAAGTGAAATTAGCTTGAATTTTGTGTCGTTTTTACGTTCCTGTTTCGTGGTGCGCAAAAAGGAAATAGAATACATTCTTACTCCTGGAAAATGATAACGGATTTGCAACATGTCCTTGAAATTTTAATCCTTTAATTTCTTACGGCTCAGCAGCTTGTGCGAGAGGGCATGACACAAGTCACGAATAAGTTTCTAACTGACAAAGCAATGGACTCGAATTTTCATTTCGAGTCACGCGCGCTTATTATAAGTTCGATTAAACTAAAGGTGTTCTAATAAATATAGTATTAACATGTACAGTTGTGGTATAATATCAACAACCTACCGCACTTCGAGCTCCTCTCTCCTTCAACAAAATAATCAGTCAATTCCTAAAAAAATCACCGGGAGAAAGAGAGAGTACAAGTAAGCTCATTAGAGAAGTCAACGGTGGCTTTCATACGGCAGCTGACTGCCAAATGTTCCTCATGACTAGTTAATTACGACGACTCACTTCTATCCCTTTTTTGTGGTTGATGAGAAGTCCAATACGTTGATCGAAGAAGCGAACCTCTTTTTCCAGTTCATAGTTTGTCCTGCTTAAATCTGAAATCTTGTCCTTCAATACTTGTATCTGCCTGTGGACTAAATTGAGAAATTAAACTACATTTTGTTCACGTGCAACAGCGGCTATCAGCTGGAGAGTCCAAAAGCGATAAGCGCAAAGACCACACAAGAAAACGTGTTGAACAAAACATTGTGCCCATACTTGAATTATGCTGAAGCTTCTCCGTTTCCAACCGGGGTGATAAATTGTCTAAAGCAGCCATAACTCGTAAGTAAAACTAACTGGTATCGGGAAAATCTTGGTTTCGATGATGCCGTCCCCACGCAGACGAATAAGCGAGAAGGTCGGCGCGGAAAAACGACCTCGGATTACCACGCATCATTGAGAGCTGTTGCAACACTGCTATGGTATTTTATAGACGACATAACATCAAGACCGTTTCCTGTAGGAAAATATTTAGAGGATATTGTCGTGACCTTCAATCCGTGCAACGATCTCGCATATTCATTCGACAGGAACTTCGCATGGTTTTCTTCTGTTTTTACATGTGATCCAATGTCGAACTGTGATTGGCTGATATTCGTTTTGTTTGACAGCCCTTTCTTTTTCAGATCTCGTGGCGCGAGGGCGGGAAACGGAAATTCCGACATACTTTGAGAACATTCACATGAAGATAAATTTTTATTGTAGCTTCAGCTATCTTCAAAACGAAAAGAAAAGTTTGTGGGAAAACAAAGAATTTTGGTTTCAATAACATCACCATTTATACAAAAACAAAACTAAGAGCTGAAGGCCATTTTCTCCTTTTATTCAAGTATTTTACAGATCTTGATATGTAAATATACACTCAAATTCCCTGGGTCGATTAATTTCTACATGTGAAAAAAAAATGAAGCGAATTTTACAAAATATGTGGGAGATTACGACAGCTGCTTTGTTTTTCCTTTGATGGGTGTTCACGATGCAACATTGTAATTATGTAAATATTTTGTAGGCTCTTGAGTGGAAATCATTGCATTTCCTTATATTGTAGGTATATGCATTTCAGGCTCTCAGAGTCATCGAGAGATTTTTGCCGATAAAGTGCCCACCACACGTTCTACAATTTCAGTTACAATCGCCTGAAAAAGTTTATTTTAATCTAAAATCACCAGTGGTTGCGCCCTCTCGAAAAGGAAGCTCTTGTCACGAAAATATATCGTTTTAAATTGCCCCGGAACTAAAAGAAAAGCACTAAAACTGCATTTGCATAAAACAATTGACGCCAAAATCCATACTTAGGGTGACATTTTCTGCCAAATAATGCCCAATATCTAAGCAATAAGCCGTTTTAGAGGCTGCTTGAGTGATTATGTAACCTTGAGATATACCGCGCGCATATGGATATAGGTTTTCTGTTTCATTTAGCAATATCTTGCATTTTTCATGGGAAATATTACTCTGCGACAATTCAAGTCTCTCGCCTTTTCTCCTAGAAGAAAAATATAAGCAAAGTTGGGCGATGAAAAACACGGGCGTCCGACAAAATCTGTTTGGGTCTATTTCCATTTCTTTGATAAGCGCAAAAAATCAATCATCAGTCTATGAATAACAGGAAGCCTTAAACAATGGTCCTACTTCAAGTTGTGTGATATTTTTCGAAAAACCCTTTATCGATAATTTTCGGATATGTTATTCAAGCCCCTTCCAATTACTATTGCCGTAGCTTAAAAATTGCCTTTGCCTTTCATTTAGGTGTCTAGTCCACAGAGCTATCTTCTAGCGAATTATCTGGACAATGACAGAGCTAAACTGACTCCAGATAAATCATTATAGTGGGAGGGGTAATTAAAATTCAAGAGAGAAAAGATAAATTATATATAAAATAGGCGTAGAGGTAATTGTTTCCTCTCAGGGGCGCATAAATGACACGAAGTATATGACTAATTTAGTTAAGAATAGATGTATGGCCTGTTACCGCTTTATTTCTATTTTTGTCACATGAAAGGTCCTCTGACTGCGAAGGAAGGAAAAGCAATAAGCAAACACCCAAACCCTCCCGGTGAAAACTTGTCGGGAATCCTGAATCACTTCTGTTGTAATGGAGTCACGGGTAAAACTGACCTTTATGTAAATTGCAATTTAATTGGTACGTTCTGATGCGCAGTAAAGTTCATCATAGAGTAGAGACTTTGGTTCAATATAGATTTGCCATAACAAACATTCAGTAGAGACGGATTGAATAAATAAATGCATACAAGTTTAGCAAAAGTACTTCTACGAGTTGAGGGTGGCAAATGGTTTAAAATTTACGCGTAATTAAGTCCAAAATTAATACGTGCCATGCAAAATTAACAAAGAGGAAAGATAAGGTGAAATTTATGATTTTCTCTTTTTAATTCGTGAAAACGAACAAGTCAAAGACTGATTAAAGTACAAATGGCGGATGAATTTTTCTACAATTGTGCGTGAAACGGGATTAGGAGCCCCCTCCCCCTTTGAATGACTTTTTGTGCACTGTTTCCATTGAGGTCGAATTGGAATTTGGAATGTAAGTCTTTTTTTTTTTTTAATTACACCGGGAACCTAAAGAAAACAACAAGAGAAAGAAAGCAAACTAAATACCGAAAAAGTCCGAGAATCGCATCCAGGCGTCATCTCCATTAATTAGTTTTATCAATTTAGTCAGCTTAATACCATCCAATCTGTCAAGGTCAAACCATTGAGTTTGGTCAGTCTCACATTATTTTTTTTTTTTAAAAGATATTGCATCCCACTGGGAACTCGACACAGCCGATACCTCAAACTGATAAACATTTTCTTAAACATGAGCACACTTCACCGCGACAGGAAGTAACTGTTTCTCTCTTTAAACTTGTCAAAGCTAACACCTGTAATGGCAAAATTTACGCCTCCTGCCGACTGAGCAAATATCCCAGAGACTGTTCAGAACTTGATCATATCTAAATTCCTATTGTTTCTACACGACTGGGCGGATCAGAAAAATCTGTGGCGCCTAACCGAACCAATGATTGCAAAAATAGTTCCCAACAACACACCATGAGCGAATCACTAAGCTAATTCACGAGTCATTAAAACTACCTTAGAGCAAGCCGAATGAATCAAATAGGTTTAAATGAACGGAGATGACAGCTCAGTGGTAAACAAAACTACCAACTGTGTGTTTGAAATCCAATTACATTGAAAAGCTAAGAAACCTGGAGAGCACAAGCATCACAAGACTATCATAATTGAAACAAAGTACTGTGCTTGGACTTCAAATCTTTTGAGGTGTCAAGCTCGAGTGCACTGACACATGACTTAAAAGAAATAAAACTGCGTACAAGTAGTTCGTTTTCTTCGATTTGTTGACACTTAGTCGTAATTTCATAACGAAATGTTGCCACGAGGCCCCGACCGTGCTATTCCCAGTCCTCTTTCTCTTTGATGGCAGTTCACACTTGAAACTTTTATTTCTCGGGTGAGACCAGTGAGAAACATTGAGATTCTACAACAGCAGCCTGCATGAAAACATTTTTTTAAAAATATATATTAATTACTGTAATAAGTTTACTACAGCCAAGGAAACTCTTGCTACTGTAGAGATCAACAGCTGTGAGATTAAAGGGTCGTGTGGGCAAAATTCCGACGCTTTACTACTGATGCATGCGTAGTTTTCAACTGGGCGTCAATAGTATATTCCATGATTGTTGTGTTAGAGTAAATTGTGCTAATTGCCTGATGATTCTGAAATCTTTCGGAGCCGAGCCAGCAAAGTTCTTTCTCTTTCCTATCCTTTTGGTGTTCCATATAAAAGGCTGTAGCCAGGTAAAATTGTGGGCAAATTAAGCCCACGAAACACCGGCAAAATTTTTTAATTGCTTGCTGCTCAGTAATTTTCAGAACGTAATCGTTTGCCCCTGCATTTTTTCTACTAGTCTAATCCATATTTATATTTAAATCCATTACTTTCGTAAGGGCGTGCAATGGTATCTCTTTGTGGTTAAAACACGGTTTCCGCTTTCCGGATTTATTTCACCGTAAATTTGCTTGCGGTTTTCATTTGCGTAAGTTCATTGAAACGTCTGCTATTAATTAATTAGATTATGGAAAAGTCAAAAAAGATCTTAACCTCTTTTACAACGACCTCAAAGTTAATAATAGACAGCCTGTGGAGATCCGCGTCGCACATGATCACAATCTACCTATGCACCGCACACTTAGCCCTTTTATTTTCGATAGAATGAGCAAAACGGAAATTCTCCCTGTACTATCAGTAAATTTCCAAAAGAAGGTGATGATAAGATGGAAAATATCAATTAAAAAAAATGTTTTTGGTGTAAAACCAAATTCTCAGAGCTAAAATCATTAACCAAAGTAAAGCGAGAGATGACGACCATCATATTTAGATCTTGGGAGTGGCAGGGTTAAAACTAAACCAGCCTCTGAGGAATTACTGAAATTCCGAGTTTCTCCCCAGGATATTCACTCTTAAAGCTGACACCCTTGTTACATGTTGCAAAGTGTGAGGTAAACTTGGAATAACACATCGTCAAACGTATATAAACAGACCTATGTTTAACCAGCAAGACAAATCAACCTCAAAGTCATTACGCAAAAATGTTGAAATCGGCGCGAGTGTTGATAACCTTTGCCGACTAACTTCCTGGCGACAATGATTTGAGAACTGCCGCCTAAAAAAATAACTGCATGCCAGATGTTTTCGAGAAGGGATTTTATGTTGTATAATACTATCATGGTTGATAGAGTATCTGATAATCTGTACTTCCCTTATCCACAGTCTATCTGCGTCACCGCTTAGTTATTCTGGGTTTCTTCCTGTGTTCTGTTATCTGTGCAGGAAACGGCAAGAAATAGAGGCCAACGTTCATATCTCAAACATAAAAATTAAACGGTGTTTCCATAATCACGCAAAATGCAGCAGTCTTGAAAAATGAGGTTCTAGCAGCTGACGTCCAAAGCCTCGTTCTCTTGTTGTCACTGACTACTGCAGTTTCGTGCACGTTAAGAGAATATGAGTGCACTTGTTTTCTTTGTTAGCCTGAATAATAGGGGAATCATGACAGATTCTCGGCCAGAATTCAGAAATAGATATGATTTTAGCCCATTGACAGAAATAAATTTCACGGCAGAGGTTTCTGCCTTACGAGGGAGCTCCTAACATGGGCGCTCTTGGGAGAAAACTGTCAAAGTGCAGAATCTGTAACATAGGATCCTGCTAATTATTAGTTTTTCCGATTGAAGATCCAGTCAGAAAGACTTGAAGCTGAGTAAGGCGATGGTTACTGCAAGAATAGCAGCCCTGAACGAAGCATTACATCCGGCAAACTCTCACTTTTTAAAATACGGTCAAACAGACTTTAAATAGGGTAGGGAGCGGAATGTGGAAGACACCGCCATGACGAACACCCCCACCCCCCACCGTACCCTTAAAGTTCTTCCGTTTTGACAGATGGAGACCTGGTACTGCTCCCTTACGCGACCTTCCGTCTTAAAAGCAATTTT